GCAGCAGACAGCTCACATACGTGTCTGCTGGGTTCCGACTGGGGACCCATGGTTAGAGCCTACCAGGCAGTTCCTTGCACAGCTCACGTAGCAGGGAATCCGATGGGTGGAAATGTGCCGGTGTCTCAGGTTACTTTGCAGCTTGTTTCAGAGAGACTGAAAACGACACTCATCAATTTTTAAAATTGACTTCCTTCAAATTGCAGGAGAAAGATGAGACAGTCTGCGACCGAAAAATGTGCTGCCTTGGAAACCCCGTAGGACCGTTCTCACTTGTCCCAGAAGATACGTATGGGTTGGAATCTAATGGAGGGCAATGGGTTTGGTTTGAGATCCTCCGAATCAGCATAGTAGTTAGAACATCTTACTGATTTCTCAGGCTGGAAAAGCAAAATCAGTTAACAGTGCAATAGCCAGCTTTTATTTACGTAGGTATTAATAGCATACATCCTACACATGCAAATAACAGTGATCTAAAAATCCAAGGGAGTACACATTATGCTGTAAAGTGAAACCCTGGCCTCATTTATGAGCGTACTGTTGATAGCTCTTAAGTGTGTACTAGGTCGAAACAAACTCATTTGGGCTTTAGCTTACAAATTTAAAAAAATCATTTTATTGGGGGCTCGTACAATTCTTATCACAATCCATACATCCATCCATTGTGTCAAGCACATATGTGCATTTGCAGCCATCATCATTCTCAAAACATTTGCCTTCTACTTGAACCCTTAATATCGGCTGCTCATTTCACCCCCCTCCCTCCTCACTCTCCCCTCCCTCATGAACCCTTCATAATTCATAAATTATTATTATTTTGTCATATGTTACACTCTCCGACGTCTCCCCCGCCCTCTTCTCTGCTGTCCATCCCCCAGGGAGGAGGCTATACGTAGATTCTTGTAATCGGTTCCCCCTTTTATCTTACCATTTAACTGGAACTGAAAACCACTTTCAAGAGGCTACCCCCTCAGGCATGCCTCGGGCGTATGCGAGGAGAACCGGCAAGAACTACAGCTCCCGGCGTGCCTTGGTTCCCGGCATGACTTGCTTGAAGAGAACTACAGCTCCCGGCGTGCCTTGGTTCCCGGCATGACTTGCTTGAAGAGAACTACAGCTCCCGGCGTGCCTTGGTTCCCGGCATGACTTGCTCGAAGAGAACTACAGCTCCCAGCATGGCACGAGCGCGAGTGCAGGGGAACGGCCGCACCTAGCTTCTCCGGCATTCCCCAGCCTTTCAGGTCCCACCCTGAAAAGGATGGAAATGACCGAGGGCGCCCGGGCTCTGGAAGCCGGCGAGATGCGGGCGCTGAAGCCTTGTCTGCTGCGCCGCAACCACAGCCTGGAGCAGCACGGCGTGGCGGCCTCCTGCCTCGCGGATCTGAGGAGCAAGGGTTGGTACAGGACCCGCGCAGGAGGTTGGGGAGGAAGGCCGGTCGGGGGTCCGATGGGTGGTTTGGGGGAGACGTGGGAAGCCGCCCCGAAATGGCTAACTTGAGTGGAGCGCTTTACCGGTTTCGAAGCGTTTCGTAGTTGTTTACGGACGCTGAAACTTGATTCATCTTGCGTGCCACTCTTAAACCGGGGAATGTGGGCGGGAAGAAAGATGCAAATGAAAGCTGAGTAGCTTGCCTAAAATCCTACTGATTTTGGTCCAGATCCAACCCCAGAGTACTCTTGTCACGCCAGATCGCTAAAGTGGGAGTGGGGAAGGCCAGCTGACCCACTGAGGAGCCGGTCCCCTCCGGCAGCTTCTCTGGGACCTAGGCTAAGGAACGGTGTCGGGTGGTGGGTGACTGCGGTGCCGGAAGCTTGCACTGGCAGCTCTAGCCCTTCAGGCTTCCCATTGGCAACAGCTCACTGCCATTGAGTCCACGCCGCCTCCTAGTGACCTGACCCTCCCCCGTGGGTTTCTGAGACGGTCACTGTCGTAGAGATCCTAGTCTTCCTCCCTCGGAGCTGCTGATCGTTTTGAACTGCCAGCCACGCGTATGGAAGTCCAATTCATCACCACTACACCACCAGGGCTCCGCTCATGGCAAAGGGGGTATAATTCACAGTGCCAGTGCTGCCTCCCAGGAATGTTAGGACTCTCAACAAGAACTGATCGATTCAAAGGACTTCCGAGTGTTACCAGCCACAGGGCGTTAAAGGAGGGCGCTAGCCCCAGGGAGGTGGTCACGGTGTGTGTCGGTTCAGTGCTGCCTCTAGCTCCAGTTGATGATGTGCAGAAGTCTTTCAAAAACTGGGAGCAGCCAAACACCTGCCCAGGCTGTGGTGACACAGCATTTGCTGTGTACGTTTTCCCATCTTTTCTGGCCTTTGGGTGCATTGGGTGGATGTACAGTGCCGAGGCTTGTATACTGTGCTTGTGTTCAGTGGTGCCGAGCCGATAAGACGCAAGTTGTGCCGCTCTGTTTGGGGGCTGGACAACTTGGCCTAAAAGAGCTGCTCTGGGCAAAGCCACTTATGCCGCCAGAATGATAGAGATGAAAAGCCGCTGAAGCACACTTCTGTTTTCTCCGGTGCTTTCCTACCCGTTAGAAAGGCTGCAAAGAACAAACGCCTGTATTTCTTTCTGAAATAAAGCTAACCATCGAAGCAATGATGGAACCCAGCCAGGCTTTGGTGTAGTTTACTGTTGGAGGGAAGACGTGAGTGCTTCCTCTGCGTGGTGTAGAGTAGCTGTAGAAATCACTTTTCAAGGCTGGATTTAAACGCCAACTTTTAAAATACATAACCTCCCCGAGCCTTGTGTATGACAAGCACGTGGAAGAGTGGCAGGCCCATATGAAATGCTGTCCCTGCCACCCGATGCATTGATAATTTCCTTATGGATATGAATTTGCGCTTTGGATCTTGAGTTCTCTGAAGGGCAGCATTTTTCAGTTACCACACATTTTGTCTCCCTCAGCTGTTGACATTCTGGGCATTGATAAGTCCCTGGCACCAATCACCTTGGTCCTAGCAGAGGATGGCACCATAGTAGATGATGACGATTATTTCCTGTGTCTGCCTTCCAACACTAAGTTTGTGGCGTTGGCCAGTAATGAGAAGTGGACATACAGCAATTCAGGTAAGAATCCCGGGCCTTATTAAAGACATGCCACGCTGTGTGATACATCAACTATCACCATCCCTTTTACTGCATGACCAACTGGCTGCTGTTTGTCTGGCTATTTAAGCAGCAAACATTTACAAGTTCCTTCTGTGTGCCAGGCACGGAATTACGTCCCAAGCATAAAGATGAGTGAGACCCAGACTCCCTTCTCAAATAACTCACAGACTAGCGGCAGCTAAATGCAGCATGGCAGAGTTCAGTGCTGCAGGCCGGATCCGGCTGCCTGGGTCTGAACCTGTCTTAATGTTTACAAGCTGTGTGACCTTATGCAAATCACCTCTCGGTGCTTTACTGAGGTCATTGTACTACCAGTCTTCTTGGACTGTAGTAAGAGTTAATGTAACACAATATGTATGTAAAGTAACCTGCCCCAAGCTTGATCGCATTAACCTTTGAGGCCGGATAATTCTTGTGGTAGGGAGTTTTCTGATGCCTTGTGGCATGTTTAGCAGCGTCCCTGACTCTACTCATTAGGCGCCAGGAGCAGCTTGCTCCCTAGTTCTGACAACCAAACGTGCCTACAGACTTTTCCAAGTGTCTCTTGGGGAGCAAAATGACTCCCACTCCTGTCGACACCTGATACCTATCGTGATCAGGTATCAGCCTCAAAGACCCAGAGCAAAAAATCATATAATTGTGAATGAGGGGGAGTGTGGAGTGGAGACCCAACACCTATCTATAGGCAATTGGATATCCCCTTACAGAAGGGTCACAAGGAAGAGACGAGCCAGTCAGGGTGCAGTATAGCACCAACAAAACATACAACTTTTGTCTAGTTCTTTAATGCTTCCTCCCCCCCCCACTATCATGACCCCAATTCTACTTTACAAATCCGGCTAGCCCAGAGCATGTACATGGGTGCAGATAAGAGCTGGAAACACAGGGAATCCAAGACAGAGAAACCCCTCAGGACCAATATTGAGAATAGCGATACCATGAGGGGAAGTGGAAGGTGGGAGAAAGGGAGAACTGATCACAATGATATGCATAACCCCCTCCCAGGGGTACGGACAACAGAAAAGTGGGTGAAGGGAGACACTGGTCAGTGTAAGGCATGAAAAAATAATAATTTATAAGTTATCAAGGGTTCATGAGAGAGGGGGGCGGAATGAGGGAAAAAATGAGCTGATACCAAGGGCTCAAGAAGAAATAAAATGTTTTGAAAACGATGATGGCAACAAATGTGCTTGACACAATGGATGGATGTATGGATTGTGATAAGAGTTGCATGAACCCCCAATAAAATGATTAAGAAGTAAAAGAAAATTAAACTTCTGGAAAGAAAAAAGAATACAGAGTGTAACTATACCAAAAATGATTGACTAACATTTGACCATTTCAAGAGGTAGCATATGGTAAAGAACCAATATTGTTAAAGGAGAAAGTCCAGGCTGTACGGAAGCACTGGTGACAAACAAGGTTCCAGGAATGGATGAAATACCGGTTTAAATGTTTCCACAAACATGTCATGCCCGAGCATTAGCTAGTCTGTGCCAGGAACTTTGGAAATAGTTACCTAGCCAAGCAGCTGTTAAGAGATGCCATTCCAAAGAAAGATGAGCCAACAGATTGTGAAAATCATGAAATAATATAATGTGATATAGAAGTAAAATTTTGCTGGAGATAATTCAAAATGTGCTGCAACAATACATCAACAAGGGACTGCCAGAAGTTGATGTTTGGTTCAGAAGTCATGGCGTAAGGGATGCCATTACAGTGTCGGATAGAGCTTGCCTAACAGAGAATATCTATATTTTACTGTCTGTGCAAAGGCTTTCAACTCTGTAGATCATGGCTAATTATGAGCAACATTGGGAACAATTAGATTTTCAGAACACTGGATTGTGCTCCTGTGGAACCTGGACGTGGACTAAGAGGCCTGCATGGTTCAAAATCAGGAAAGGTGTGTATCACGGTTAAATGCCTTGACCGTATTTATCCAATCTGTGGTGAGCAGAAAATCTGAGAAGTTGGGCTACAGAAACAAATTCATAGACACTCATCTGTGTATAAGAGAACGTACATCAAAAAGAATAACTGTGTATCCAGAAAACATCCCAGCCCAGTCCAGATCAAGTCCATAAGTCCCATATTAGCTCATATGTCCAATACCAGTCTGTAAATTCTTCTTCAGACTCAAGAAACATGCAGTGACACCGAGTGTAGGAAGATCACAGGCCAGTGGGTGGAAAGGCCATGCCCACACAGAGGCGTGCTTGGCATGCCCTAATTGACAGACTAGACTATCCCTATAACCTATTTAACACCTTGACATGAAATTACGTAACTGCCACAGCTTGCCTATGAACCCTTAAGGAAAGGTGCTTCTTCCCCCACCGGCATTACTCTGTGGCTTTGCAGGAGGATTTGCAGACATCCTGAGGAGCCCTCTCTGGGTGTATTGGCAGGTGTGTGTGTGTGTGTGTATGTGTCTGAAAGCAGCACTTGTAGGTGTGTGACTGTGACTAGTGTTTTCTCACGTCATTTATCAGACGGAGGTACAGCTTGGATTTCCCAGGAGTCCTTTGATGTAGATGAAACAGACAGCAGGGTCGGAGTAAAGTGGAAGAATGTGGCCAGGCAGCTGAAAGAAGATCTTTCCAACATCATTCTCCTGTCCGAGGAGGACCTTCAGGTAAGCCATGCCCTGTACCTGCAGCAGCACCAGCACTACTCGGCCTGCTGGTGTCTCGCCACGATGATACCGCTTCTCTTCGCTGGTCCTTCATTCCTCTGTGGTCCTCGGAGTATGACTCCAGAGTCTTCCTTTTATAGTTCTGGCTTTCACCTAAAGTGGTCATCATTTTTTAACCTTCACCCTGCATCAGAATTACCTTTCAAAAAACATGGATGACCAGGCCAGGCCCACCCTGGCCTTGATCACGTGAGCGGGGCGGGGGCGAGGGTGTATGGCTTTGGAGTGGGCAGTGGCGTCGGAGCTTCTGGATTCAAGTCTCCACTCCTTCCGTGTGACGTTGAGCTGGTAACTTAACACTTCTGCTTTCAAGTCCTTCTTTTCTGAAAAATATGGATTAAAAATAGAATGTGGTCCTTCAAAGAAATATGCCTGGGGCCCCCACCCTGAGCCTGCCATGGTTCCCAGGGGCTGACTAGCAGATGTTTCGTTCTGAAGGAAGGCTGACCAACAAGCAAGTGAGCACTTCAGACAGGGAGGGGCAGGGGCCACTCAGGACTGGAAGGTCAAGGGAGGCCTCTAAGAGGGTGTGACTTTTTCATAGACCATTTTTAGAGCCACTTTAGATTGACGGGAAAATTGTGCTGAACGGTCACACACACAAACTCCAAACACACTACCATCAAATCCGTTCCAACTCAAAGTAAGCCCAGAGGACAGAGTAGAACTGCCCCGTGGATTCCCAAGACTAACGCTTTATGTACCAAGTCTCGAACTGCTGACCGTGCGGTTCACAGCCCAACATGTAACCACGACGCCACCATGCTCCTTTCACACACACAACTTGATGCATACCTGGCACCCATAGCACAGTTGTCACAGCAAGACGATGGATGATCTTGAACTAAAGTCGGTAGCTGCAGACCCCCACGGATGGCAGGTTCCCTCCCAGACCACCGCAATAAAGTGAACCACACCGTGAAGCAACTCACACGTTTTTGGCTTCCCAGGGCATGTAAAAGTTATGTTTTCACAGGGTGGCATGTGCGCTTGCATGAAAAAGCTTAGCCTACTGAAAGAGTGACTAACTGTGACACACAGAGAGGAAATGAGCACATTCTTGGAAAAACAGCGCTGATAGACGTGCTCGAAGCAGGGTTGCCACACATCTTCTATTTGCTTGGGGGAGTGGGGCCAGGAGGCAGTGACCTGGGGCACACAGTAAAGGCGGTAGGCCCACCGCTCCAGCCGCTCTGCGGAGAGACAAGGCTCTGGACCCCTGTAGAGTTACACTCAGAAGCCCTCTGGAGCGCTTCAGTTCCGTCCCACTGGGTCACGTTTGGTTTGGTTTATATCGGGGTCATTCTTTGTGAGGGGCTGACAAGTGCTTCATGTCATGTGTCCACCCTCAGTGTGGGAAAGAGTCCTTTGTACTTTTCTTTGAGTAAGTAGTAGGAATGCGTTCACGAGGTTCGGGAGACGAGGTACAGAAGGGTCACCAGGTGGCTGCCGCCTGAGTAGCCACCAGCTGATGAGCGGAGAAATAAAATTGGTGTATCTCTGTAGTAGAATATTCGTCAGCCCTTAAAAGGTGTGAAGACATTTCCGTGAACTGTTCAGATTAGGGCTTGCTAGGGGCCGGGGGAGTGGAGAGTAGCAATGACTGCTTTCTGGTCGGTCCAGGGTCTCCTTTTGGGGGGGTCGCAGTTTTAGGACTAGGTACAGGTGATGGTGGTAAAAGGTGAGTTGGGAACCGCTGTCTAGCAGTTCTAGCAGTTTGAACTTCCTCTTCTAAAGACTAGCTGTGATCTCATACTGTATATGCAAAAAAATTGAGCCTTTTAACACATTCTATATATTTTTTATCATTTTATTGGGGGCTCTTACAGCTCTTATCACAATCCATACATCAGTTGTATCAAGCATATTTGTACATATTTTGCCATCATCATTTTCTGAACATGTACTTTCTATTTGAGCCCTTGGTATCAGCTCCTCTTTTTTCCCTCCCTTCCCCTCACCCCCCACCCTCGTGACCCCTTGATGAATTATAGTTTTCATATCTTACACTGACCGCTGTCTCCCTTCACCCACGCTTCTGTTGTTCATCCCCCTAGGGGAAGGGGGGGATGATATGTCAATCATTGTGATTCGTTCTCCCTTCCTCCCCACCTTCCCCCTATCCTCCTGGTACTGCTGCTCCCATTTCTGTTCCTGAGGAGTTGAGCTGACCCGTATTCCGTGTGCCCTGAGCTCTTACCTGGACCAGTGTACATGCCTCGGTGTAGCCAGAATGGAAAGGCAAGACTGAGGTCAGGGTAGGGGGGTGAGGAAGCCTCAAAGAAGCAGAGGAATATTGCATGTTTCATCAGTGCTGCACTGCACCCTGGTTGACTCATCCCTTCCTTGTGACCCTTCTGTGACAGGGTGCCCTATTGTCTCCAGATGGGTTTGGGGTCTCTGCCCTGACCGACCTCGTTCTCTATAATATGTTTTTGTTTGTTTGGGGTCTTCTGGTGCCTGTTACCTGATAGTATTGAAACCTCATGATCGCACAGGCAGGCGTGCTTCTTCCATGCCGCGTCTCTGCTAGATGGCCCCTTGTTTAACTTCAAGCTTTTAACACCCCGGGTGCTATATCTTTTGATAGCCAGGCACAATCAGCTGTCTTCACCACATTTGCTTATGCACACATTTTGTCTTCAGCAATCCTGCCAGGAGGGTGAGCATCACAGAATGCCAGGTTGTTAGAACAAAGTGTTTTTGTGTTGAGGGAAGGCATGAGCCGAGTCCCAAAGGCTGTCCACTTCCTCAATATATTGCCATGTAAATATATGCACATAGGGCAATACCTCTACTTTTATGGATTAATGTATGTACATAGGTGCACACCTCTGTTTCTAGCTCCATCCATAGCTTTGCTTCCTGAGTCTCCCCTGTTTCCCTTTACCTTCCTCCTTTCCCACCATCACGCTCGCCCTTCTGCCTCCTAGTAACCCCTCTCAGCTAGATGCCGGTGCTCCGACACCGCCGGGATCTCTGCACCCTCCTCGTTGTTGCTTTTACTTCCCGTCTGTGGAGCTGTTTGCTCACCGCTCCTTCCAAGTCCTTCCTGAACCATCTGTCCCCGCTTTCTCCTCGGGGCTTGCTTCCCACGACGACACTCTTAGATTGGTGGGCAAAATAACAATAACAGAGACCAAAAAAAGATTGAATAAAAAGAGAAAAAAGGGGAAAAAAAACTAACAAAAAACAAAAAAGCATACATAATTCCAGGTCTGTCCGCCGACCTTCACGACTATCTCCCCACCAGTCCTGGGGGGTTCTGGGAACTGCCTCCTAACCTGAAATCTTTATTTTGGGGGCTCCTGGGGCCGGGTGTTTGTGTCTTTGCTTTGCTCCTGTTGCTGATCTGTTATGTTCCCTTCGTGGTTTGTCCCACTGTGGGGGTTCAGACCAGACTCACTCCCCGCCGTGTGTCCCCAGGATTGTCCTCTGTGGTGGTGTGCTCCGGTGAGGGGACATCATGTCTCCAGCTGTTGTCGGTCCTACAGTCCTCTCTGCGCCTTAGCAAGGCCCGCAACCCCAGGGCGTGGTGTGCCAGGACAGGGCTAGTTCCTGCTCTCTTTGTCTCTGGTTTGCTTCTGCGTGGGTGAGGCCGGCCGGCCGGCCCTGCTCCCCAGCCTGCAGATTCAGTGTTCTCCTCTGTAGCACAGACTTCAAGGTAGGGGGAGTCGGTCACGTTGGCTCTGATTGGAGCCTGCCCTGTAGACTTCTCTGTCTATGAGTTGCTCCATGCGGTTACATTGCCCTCAAGGTTTGGGGAGCCGTGGTGGGGTCTGCACTCACACTCCCATTTCTGTGGCGACATAAACAATACCCTCCCCCTGGGTGGGTCAGTGCCCTACTCCCCTAGTGCCTTCGTCTCTCTGTCTTGTTTTGTTTTTTCCCTTTTCTCCCTGCTGGCCCCCCTTTCCCCTTCTTTGTGTTGGAATGACCTGTACAACCTTGGGGTTGGTCTGTCACCGGCCCGACCCGCACTTCACAGACTGGACATGTGATTTTAAAACTGGACATAGGGAACAGACCCTCACACTTATTTTATATTTTTATCCCCTTTGAGACTAGCTCCTGTGCTGCAAAAGCATTGAAGTGGTTTCAGTGTTCCTTTCCCTCCTCTGTCACCACTCAGAGCCGCGTTCAGAGCGATGGGCCAGGAAACTGAAGGTTTCATAGATGTCAAGGGTGTGACCGCTCTCTCTCTCTCTCTCCCTCATCTGTGACTGTCACACACACACACACACACACATACACACACACTCATATATACAGGGGAAACACACACAACACAGTTGTCAAGGGTGTGACCGCTCTCTCGCTCTCTCCCTCATCTGTGGACTGTCACACACACGGGGAAACACACACAACACAGTTGTCAAGGGTGTGACTTCTCCCTCTCGTGTGGACTCACACACACACACACACACACTCATATATACAGGGAAACACACACAACACAGTTGTCAAGGGTGTGACTTCTCCCTCTCATGTGTGGACTCACACACACACACACACACACACTCATATATACAGGGAAACACACACACAGCACAGTTGCATGGGCCAGCGCATCGGAACCTCGGACTTCTTTAAAAAGAGACTGACTGGCCCTGTTGAAACTGAGGACTTCTCAAGACTGCTGCTCTGGTCCCCTTGAAACCTTGAACCCAGACTAGCCCCTAAGCTCACCACTTAGCTAGGAAACAGATAACCAAATTCAGTAACAAAACAAATTCTTTGCCATCGAGCTGTGGCCGACTTGGAGCAGCTTTACAGGACCGGACATTACTGCCCTATGAGTTTCAGAGATTGGAACCGCTTCCAGGAGGGGAGAGCCCTGCCATTCTCCTGAGGAGCGACGGGGGCTTGCCAGCGGTTTACCTTGTCATTAGCCGCCCAGGGCATAACCCCACACGGCCAGAGCTCCTGTAAATGACAGCTAGGCTCCCATGAGTCCTGTGCTCCTTTACAAAAATAGTCGCCTCTGCAAGACGGACGGATGGACCACAGTGGCGACAAAACAAAGCCCTGCCGGTAAGTGGGACCCGCCCCCCCGCTCATGCCTGAGACACTGCAGCGGTGCCACTGCCCAGCGTGTCCACGTTGTTGAAGGGCAACCCAGACAAGACAGTGTTGTTGCTGACGAGAGAAGCACACCTGGCTGTAGGTCACCTTTTAAGCATAAGAACTTCAGAACTTCTTTAAGGCTCGTTTTTTTTCATGTGAATGTATGCAATAAATTAAGGTGAAAATTATTCTAGGAACTTTTGATTGAAACGAACTCGGATTGTGCCCTGGTCTCATACACCTGCCTTCCCCGTTATATCCTGTGCCATTGAGTCTTCCAGTATCAACGTTGGTTGGGGCTGGGGCTCGCTCTCTGTCTCTCTCGAGGTGGCGGGGCATCATTTTCCTCCAGAAAAAACGGATAAGAAGTGCATGCTTCTCTCCTGACTCTCAGCCAGGCAACGTAGGTCACTTTCGGAAACTGATAAAATGAACCTCTGGAACCGACGTGTAGGGAGCGCCCGTCGACTTCATATGCACCTGTATTCCTCTGGTAGGTGCTTCTCGATGTCCCGTGCTCAGACCTGGCTCAGGAGCTCGGTCAGAGCTGTGCCGCCGTCCAGCAGCTCCAGAACACCTTGCAGCAGGTGCTCGACCAGAGGGAGGAAGCCCGTCAGTCCAAGCAGCTCCTGGAGCTGTACCTGCAGGCTTTGCAGAAGGAGGGGGGCGTCTTGGCCAAGCAGCAAGGTAGGACATGACCCATGCCCAGCTGGTGGGGCGGTGCAGTGAGAAACAAGTGCTTGCGATGTTTCCTCGGGAGCGAGCCCACTGCCGCCATGCAGCAGCGGGACCCTGAGCTGACATGTTAGGACTGACCTGTCATAACAGTGTGCTAACCTCCATCGCCCGCTTGCTTTGCAGAGTCCCACGCTGGGTTTGGTGAAGAGGTAGATACGGTTGACACGGGCCTCACTCACGAGCCAGCCACCAGGATTGCCCTCAGG